TCCCGTTTGAAGACCAATTTTCAATTGTGTGAGCTGATAAAAGTACCTGATTATGCTGCTGTCATGCGTCTCCTTGCTCAGTTTACTGTGGAAAGCCTTCGAGTATTTCTTTCTCTGTTTCATGTTTCCTTCCCTTCTTTCTTTCCTCCTCATTCTGCTCCGACTTTAGATGATGGAATTGTCAGCGAACAGCACCTATTTTCTGTTGACTTTCTGGCAACGTATGGTCACTTCGGTCCCATATGTTCGCAGCAGTGAGGACCATTTACTTAACCTATGTTGTCCTGAGATAATGACGGCTTTCGTGGAAAGCCGACTGCAGAATGTGGAAAGAGTTGTCAGGTACGACATCCTGCCCAAGCTTTTCATTTCGTTTTTTCAATTATTCCTTTATATTGTTTGCCGCTCATTCGTGCCAGTAACGGTTCCTTTTTTACTTGAGTGTGAATCATGAGTGCTTCAGAGATGGGCACGATGATCCATTGGACGATCAGGGAGCAACGCTTCAAATAATGGAGCATCTTGCTATAATATGCCGATGCGAGTATGAGAAAACGGCTCAGCTTCTCGCTAATGCTTTTGATGAAAATGCGAGAATTATGGAGGCTGGACCGGAAGGGGTTTGTTTATGAACACTTTGGGTTCATTTTCAGTTCTATATCTATGAGAAAAAGTGTTCGAGCTGTTGAGAAAAGTTGCAAAACTGATCAAAAACACAGACCCCGCACAAGAAATCCCAGCGTAATGTGCGCCCCGGTTCGCCACACGCGATTGCTCGCGGTCATTCGAAGGAAACGTCTTTCAATTCCAATTGGTGATCTTAGCAACTGCCGCGAAAACATAGAAATAAGCGCAGTCGAGCTTTTAAGGGCTCTTGGTTCCTGCAGTAATCCAGCTAAGAGTCCTGGCTCGATAGAGGGATTGTGATGCAACACAGCATCGTGGCTCCTTCAGTACCCACCTCATGTCGTTGCCCGGGGTCCCCTGCCGTGCGTCGTACACGGGACGGGCTGATGATCTATGTGTTCAAATAGG